TCAAGAATTTAATTAGAAGAGGTCGTTTTGATGCTCAAATATCCTTAAATTGATTATCTCGCCATGAACATGTATGGAGATAGCAAAAAAAATGAATTTCAAGGTTTGAATATAATGCATCTTGTAAGCTTTTTTGGACAGTCAATTTTCAGCAATTTTAAATTTTCATTAATCTGCTCGATCTACACTTTTTTTGAATCTTTAAATTTTATAATTACAAATGAAAATATATTTTAAGACTATCGCAAAGATTTTTAGTATCGAAACCACATTTCTAAATACTATTTGAAGATAGGCTTTACTTTGATTGTTTAGAGCCTCGGCTCTATACAAACCGCACCATTTGCGGCCCAGTTTGTGGCCCAAGCGTGAACACCATTTGCTACCCCACATAACACATATTGGACATAGTGCATGGCCAAACTAGGATATCGCACGTGTGACTATTACGGTGCCCTTGTGCTTTTTTGACTTTTGGGCATGTTTGTTACATGTGATCTTCAGCTCCGAAAGCTCGCCAACTTTGGAAGTTGCGTTTTCCAAAATAGGTGAAAATCAAGCATTCGTGGCTTCCATACCTCCCAAGGAAGCCTTGAGTTTGGAAGTTCAGCATCCAAAGCCAAACCTTACGGGAACAAACCTGCCCTTGTTCTGCCCCATGCTATGTATTTTATCTACATGGAAAAGTTTATATAAGGTTAGCAATATTATACTATAGACATACCGTGTACCTTAAAAATCCAGTAGAAAAGAGTATTATAAAGTTGAAAACCTTCAAATTGATAATCTCAACCTCAAGTTCTAAAAATAGTGTATATTGTAACAAGTTATCTGGACTGTCTATTTTCAAGATTTTCAAGTGTTTATAGAGATTTGCTTGATCTATACTATATTTAAAATTTGAAATTTCATAATTAAAGTTGAACATGGATGTTTAAGTCCAAACTTATATAGCATAAAGCCTGCATCTTAGACAAACCTCATCCTTGCTCTACTTTTCGAAGGCAAGATTGACAAAGGCAATTAAGGTGGAGTTAGTTAAATGTTATTTGGTTGTATAATGGGGGATATAACAACATCTATGTTTTTTGATAAACCGAGTTCTCTCTTATTCTATGACCTTAAACTGATATCTTCAAAGAGATAACATGGGCTTGTTCAAGTATGTTGAAAAGCTAACTGATCAAGAGAGAGCTCAACCACATAACTAAGTGGATTTTAGTTGGGAAATAAGTTTTTGGCAAAATTTTACATTGGATGTCTACCTAACACAATCTAGCCCCTTTAACCAAGCATAGGTCGGAAAAAGAGAAAGTTTAAAATCACCCTTGTTAGACTAGGCATCCTCATTTCAAATAAAATTTCAATCTTCCTCAAAGTCACCACCCTTCTTGGACTAGGCATCATCATTTCAAGTAGAATTTCAATCTCCCTCCCCCGAACCCCCCTCTCTGTCTCTCACACACACACAAATCCAAGAAACCAAAACCTTGTCGATCAGATTTATCGGATTCATGTCCTCAGTACTAACCTGTAATATTTCCAATAATCATCACCAAAAAATGCCATAATTGTTTTGGGGAAAACAATGTCTGCCACGCCTTAATCGCACTAAGAGCTGCATTTGATACAGTATGTTGAGCTAAATGAAGTGAAAGAAAACACCACCAAAAGAGAAAATGACAAGCTCTAATTTATATGAAGAACTCAACAGATAGTTCCATTCTAATAAGCTACATCTAATGGTGAAAATTTAATTTTATAATTTTTTTTATGAAGGATGATCATATGAGACCCTCCCACACCCATGTGTATAAGACCTTAAAGGATCACCATTAAATTTGATACAGATCTCTAGAAAAATCAAGTCCCACACCCATGTAATAACTTTTTTAGATATCTGTGCCAAATTTAATGGTGATCATTTGAGGTCCTACACACATGGGTGTGGGAGGGTCTCATAGGTTCATTACTCTTTTTTTATTTATATTTAAGTAAGATATTTATCTAAAGGACCTGGTTTTCTATGTGTCCAAGCCCGCATATGTAGAAATACGGGCCTCTTAATAAATCTATTTTTGAGATCGATTTTAAGACTTAATTTTTAAGGACATGTAACTCTAACATGGAGATCATGAATATGAATAAATAAATAAATTTTAAAAACTAGAAATAATAATTCTAATAAAAAAACATTTGGACCGTTAGTTTCCATTGTTTTTAGATGAAACACCTACTTGCATCCATCTTTAAAATGCACGATGTACCGCATATGTAGAAATGCGGTCCATCGCACATCAAACAATTTTTCTTATCTACTGTTTTATAGTGCAATTTAATTTTTATAGAAGTAACTAAATAAAAATATTTTAAATAAAAATTATCATATTTTTAATAAAAATGATCAAAATGCATTTAAATTTGTTTTGATCAATAATTTTATTTAAAATAGTTTTTATTTTTTATTTATCTCTACTTATAAAAATTAAGCTAAAGCTCAAATTTTAGATTAATATATTTTTTAAAAATCAGAATAAAAAAAAATCTTTTTTTAGGCATTGGATGAGGCTGGTCCAATCTGAACTATCAAAAGGTGCGCACTTTCTTTTCCTAAATTACTCTTAGGATGGGGATGGGATGGGGATAAATATGATACGAGCCTTTCGGTCCATCAATTTCTAGAGCGCTGAGGGACCACCTTATCTCCAATAGATATGCCAACAAAGTCTACACTGTAATCTCCTGACAATACAAAATAGCCGGTGGCCCGGCATGGCCCGTTCGCCCTGGCCCTAAATACTTAGGTGACCCGAGGGCCAAGCCAAGGCTGAACCACCATGGTCTGAGTGCCAATGCAAGTCTAGGCCACAATAAGGCTGGCTCGATTTGGCCCAATGCCCTCTTTTTCTTAAGTTCGTCTTTTATTTTTTTTAAATTATACTGGCTTGGTCTGACTCTGAGAGGGCTAGGGCTGGGCTTAGGTTAGGGCTTCCTTGCCCCGGTCTGTGCCGGGCCAAGGCTGAAACAGACCTAGGCCAGCCCTATGAGGAACATGTCCGGGGCTGGCTAGGGCGCCCGTTGCTAGCCCTAGCCGTCTAAACAATGTGTTCGAGGGTTTGCAAAGAAATATTAAATATAAACTTTAGTTAAATCTCATGTTTGACCCAACCAAGAATCGGAGAAGAAAGAGATAAATGGCTCCGATTTGTGCATTAACAAATTTAGATTTTTAGGAAAATAGAATTCTAGTGGATTTTATAATTAGCACAAATATAGGTCTCTTCTGAGTTCTGAGTGCCCAAAACAAGAAAAAAAATTCAAATTGTATTTAGACAAATTTGAGGGTAAAATGAGTTAGCATTCTCATTGGCCACTTCATCCTTTCTCATTTTTCTCAGTTGATCTTAACCCTGCATTATACAGGGATGAGTTGATAGAATCATCTTCCCTTATGCATGTTCAACCACTGTCTAGGACAACCCAACTCATTTGCAGCCCTAATTTGTAACCAAAGCAAGTTGATCTCGTCAGAGGCCCATTGGCTTCTTTAACACCATGCACACCATTTTATTTTATTTTATTACTTATTTCAGGTGGCTCCCTGAATGGGACGAGAATGAGGTGCATGATATGTGCATGGCGCTGCAACTACGTAGGCACACCTCGGTGCTAACCACGAGGCGCTGTCGGCGAGTCGGGTTGTTTGGGAATGCAACCCTAATTGTGCAGTAAATTCTGTCCAAGGCTAAATAAAAGATATTCATTTATTTATTTTAACGTGATAACAATGGGAATGGAGGGTGGGATGTTATGTTGAGGCATCATCCCTCCAAACCACTCACCTTGAAGCACGCCATATTGCAATATCAGATATGTAACTATTATTGTGCCCATGTCTTTTTAGGCATCTTTATTTCCTGGAACTTTCGGCTCTAGAAGCAAAACTTACAAGCTCGTGGGACCATGGAAGCCCGAGTTCCATTTCTTCATCCACTTTGGAGCTTGTGTATTCCTAATGGGTGGAAATCAAGAACTCTTGGCTTCACCCCAAGGATGCATTCGGCATCCAAGGGTCACAGACCAACCACATGCCTTGTTTAATAAGTAACACATTAGTTGTCCACTCTCCAGTTGGGCAGTAAGCGTCAAAGAAGGGCAATTACTCATTCTTAAAACCAACATTCTTAATACCAAATAGTTAGCAGAAAAGAGGGAGAGCTCTCCGTCTCTTATTCCATTATAAACCTCAAGCTGATATATTCCTGATCAAGAGAGAGTTCAACCACAAGAGCTTGTCTGCTTTTTGGGATATATTTCAAAAAAGAGTGTTTTTTTGGATATAAGCTTTTGTCTATGTTTTTGGATATATTTCAAAAATAAATAAACAGTGACAAAACTAGAAGTCCCCATTTCAAGTAGCATTCTAATCTCTCAACCGCATAACTAAAGTAGATCTAAGTTGGGAAAGAACCCTGTCCTTTCTCTTGGATATATTGCAAAAGAATGAACATTGAAGAAACCAGGAGTCCTCATTTCAAGAGGAATTCCTCTCTCTCTAGAATGAATACCGAAACCTTGTTTATTAGATTTATCAAATTCATGTCCTAGGCACTAGTCTGTAACATTTCCACTACTCACCACCAAAAGAGAAAATGATTGTTTTAGAAAAAATCAAAGTCAGCAAAGCCTTAGAAGAGAGATGGTGACACTAAGAAACAAAGTTCAGCAAAGCCATAGATGAGAGATGATAACACTAAGAAACAAAGTTCATCTGATACAGTACGCTGAGCTACATGAAGAGAGAAGCACCATCAAAAGAGAAAATGACCACTAATCACCAGCAAATGAGAAAATGATTGTTTTAGAAAAATCAAAGTCTGCCAAATCTGAAGATGAGACAGAATAACACTCAGAAACACAGTTCATCTAATACAATATGATGGGCTGGAAAACGAAGAGAAAGGAACATCAAAAGTACAGCCCAAGTTAGCATTTGCCATACCGATTTGATACGAACAGATAAGTGAGAGAAACTAAAGCAAAGCTTCAGCATGACTCCTAAACACATACATATTCATGAGGAGACTTTGGGAAACCATGCTATTCAAAAGGAGAAAACGATCTCCCAATACAATGAAAAGCTCTAAATTAAATGAAGAACAGAGTTCAATTTTGATAAAAGTTGTGTAGAACCCATTTTACCAAATACCGGGACTTGGGTATTATCCAACAATTACAAGATCACATCATGTGTTATGATAACCATGGCAAACCTGGCTCTCGGCACTGGTTTGTAGCTGAGATGTTCGTTATGGGCCCAATATATAAGCGCCATAAATCCAATAATATGGTTACGAGCATGCTAGCAGCCAGAGCATCAATAGCCACCCTCGATAGAGTCCATGGATCACTGGGCTTCTCATCCAATCTATTGAAAGAAACAAAGATGAATCACAATTTTTAAAGCTTTAGAGGCTCAAAGAAAGGCTTCTTTTTTTCTTTTTTTCTTTTTTTGTGGGAGGGTGGGTTCTATGGGGTACACACACACAGTAGCAGCTTCACTGTGGTTAAGATGGTCTGCTATTAGACAAGGACAGATGTGTGCTTCTAAGAGTCTGCTTGTAGGAGATTGTGGAAATATGTGTGTGTGTGAGAGAGTGAGAGAGAGAGAGAGAGAGAGAGAGAGAGAGATTTGTAGTCACAAAGATGAGTTGCTCCTAGATAAGTATTGATACAGCATGTGCCCGTTGTTTGTTAGAAAATACTAAAAATCCCAGTATATGTCATTTAATATAAAAGTGGTTGACCTCTTTGTCCAGTGGTGAACAAATGAATTCAACATAGAGAGAAAGTTAGAAAAAGACTATAGGAAATAGAATGATTGCCATAACATCTACTACATATATGAAATACATTGTTATCTACAAATTCATTTCCAAATGTCCTCTTAAAAAATGAAATGTAACACATAGTATAGCTATTAGATATCAACACATACCTTATAAACATCGGAAAGCTTACAATAAAATAAATTGCATAGAATAAGGACCCTATCTTGTACATTGATGCCCGATCCACGAAGTCATAGTAAGGGAACTGCATGAGTTTGCAAATTAAAGAAAATATAATGAAATTGCAGACAGAGCAACAACAGGAACAAGCAATGAGTCTTATGTTTATGTTGCAGATGACGTTAACAGAAGTTAGAATGTCATAGCAAGCAGCGTAAGTACACTTCCTTCTCTTCTGGGGCAAGAATACTGTAATCCAATAGATTATGGAAACCATAATCCATTAAGTTCATCATCATCCATTGCTACAATGGACAGTGATGAAGAGAGACTGGAACACCCACAAGTTTAAGAGGAGTACTACATCTTGTATACGATATCAATATTTTACAAAATCAAATGGCAAGATATTAAAATCTTCACCCACAAGTTTAACCAACTTAAAAATGTAAGGGGCTGTTTGAATGACAGTAAATCTCATCAAGAGTAGACTACCTCATCTGAAATTAACATACTCTGCATAAAAGAAACGCAACTTAACTGGAAATAGCGTATATCTCATGGAGTACAATAAATAAGAAAAGTCTAGCATGAAGCAACTCGATTTCCTTGCAAATATACCACATATAATATTCTCTTGAAGAATAACTTACATTGGAAATAGCATATGTCTCAAGGAACGCAATGAAATAAGACAAGGCTAGAATCCAGGAAGCCTCAATAGCCAATTGCACAGGCCTTGAAAGGACCGAAATGGAATTGCGTAGTCGTCTAAGGGTAATGTTTGACCAGACATGGTAAAATAAGAAACAAACATGCGCAAGAAGGAATGTGGTATGAGGCACCTACATTGCATGAACAGCATTAGCAAGTGAAAGGATGATGCAAAATCTCTCTCTCTCTCCCCCCCTCCCAAAACAAAAAACAAAAACACAAACACACACACACACACACATGTACGTACATATAAAATGCAGCATACGAAAACTATGCTGCATTCGAACATGAAATTTACTCTACTCAAGACTGCCATTGTCAGCATGATTAGAGGAGCATATTCTAAATTGTCATAATAAGTCTTGTCATGCATTTACGTCAAATTGCCTAATTTCTAGAAAAAGTATACAAAGAGACCATTTATCTTTGTACAACGAGGTCACAATCACTTTTGTCCCTTAGATTTCAAATTGGGTAGTTGTAAGAGTGCCATTGAATAGAATCAAAGTTCAAAAAAAAAAATCTCGGACTTCAAGACTCACCTCAAGCCATTTGATTTGACATCTAATAACTAGGAGTAATTGTGACATGCTTGTAATCAAGATAAATGGTCTCTTTGTATGCAATCCCTTTCAATAAATGCCATAGCCATTAACAAGATCATAATGAGTAATAAGAGAAACAAAAAAACCAATAGCCAAGATGAAAAATATGTGTACCTTAACAAAATGATGCAGTAGCATTCATATTCCAAACCAAAGAAATTCAGTGCAGCTATTTTTTAGTAAGAAATTTAGTAACATTATCAACACCATTAATTTGTTCTTGAAACTCACATTGTTCATCCTCCAAGATGGAAAAATATATGAAGCTCCAAGAATGGCGAAAAAGTAGTGAGTCCAATAGTAGTTTCCAACGTAACTAAAGATAGCAATCCACACGCTGGCCTGCCACATCGTAAATTTCTTACATAATGAGTAAAGCATCAAGTTAATTTTTGAGATATTGATCTGAATTTGTTTAGAGGAAATGGTTCCAACAAAAATATATCACCAGAAGCAGAATAATATAGTAAAAGGTCCTCTTCAAAGCAAGGTTAAAGAGGTACAAAACATACATAGAATACTCAGAGATTGGTCCAACAAATTCCATAGTAAAAGTGTGTCCAGCCTGTTCAACATAATTCAAAAGTCTATATTACCCCCATGAGAATGAGAACTACAACAAATATACTCCTTCAAAATTATCTATTGCGTATGGATTGAGCACAGACCGTGACCTCACCTCGTAAGAACCTCCAAAGGTTTACGAATCACCTAGCCACCCTCTCACTCCACCCAAAATAAAACTCAAACATGAAAACACAAGGACCAAGCATGAAATATACCCTGACATCTTTATTCCATTGATCTCTAGGGGGTCTTTTGGATACTTGGAAATCCATTTCTAGAAATGTTTTTCAGTAGAGATCGCACATTTCTGGCGTTTGGATGAAAATTTTGGGACTGAAAAGTAATTCTGCCCATAATTGTTTTCCTCATATCAAGCCAAAAATAAAGAAATCTGTATCATTGTCTTTATCCTTCGAAATTGATTTCCAGCCAGATTTCCCGGTTACGGAGACATCCACTTTATAAAATACAATTAATTCCACAAAAATACCTCCACGAATTAGAGAGAGAAACTGTCTTAAATTTTACGTTATAGAGAGAGAAAGTGTCATAAAATTTTAGAGAGAAACTACTTCTAATTTTAGAGATGGAAACTATCAAAAAATTTTAGAGAGAAATTATCTCAAAGTTTTTATAGAGAGAAATTATTTAAAAATTTTAAGTTAGAGAGAGAAAATCTCTTAAAATTTTAAAGAGAAACTATATCAAATGTTAGAGAGAGAAATATCAAAAAACGTTTTACATAGAAACTGCCTCAAAATTTATGGAGAGAACGTACTTGAAAATTTTGAGAGAGAAAATATCTTAAAATTTTAGAGAGAAACTGTATCAAATTTTAAAGAGAGAAGTACCTAAAATTTTTTAGAGAGAATCTCTCTAAAAATTTTTAGAGAAAGAAACTATTTCAAATTTTAAGTTTTAAAGAAAGAAAATACTTAAAAAAATTTCAAGAAAGAAACCATCTAAAAAATTTTAAAACAGAGAAAGTACCTCAAATTTTAAGCTTTGGTGAGAGAAACTATCAGAAAATTTTTAGAGTGATAAACTATCTCAAATTTTAAGTTTGATAAAGAGAAAGTACCTGAAAATTATAGAAACAAACCATCTCAAATTTTAAGTTTGATAAAGAGAAAGTACCTGAAAATTATAGAAACAAACTATCTCAAATTTTAAGTTTTATAGAGAGAAAGTACGTGAAAATATTTAGAGAGAGAAACTATCTCAAAAATTTTAGAGAGATAAACTATCTAAAATTTTGAGTCTTAGAGAGAGAAACTACCTCACATTTTTTAGAGAGAGAAAGGACCTGAAAATTTTTAGAGGGAGAAAGTATTTAAAAAAATTTAGAGAGAGAACTGTCTCTAAATTTTAAAGAGAAACAATTTTAAATTTTAAGTTTTATAGAGAGAATATCTTAAAATTTTAAAGAGAGAGAGAGACTATATCAACTTCTAGATAGAGAAACAATCCAAAAAAATTTAAAGAGAAAAACTATCTCAAAATTTTTAGAGAGAGAAACTCTCTTATTTTAAGTTTTAGAGAGAAAAGTATCTTAAAATGTTAGAAAGACAAACCATATGAAATTTTAGAGAGAGAAAGTACTTAAAATTTGTAAAGAGAGAAACTCTCAAAATTTTTAGAGAGAAATTATATCAAAATTTTTAGAGAAACTATATCAAATTGTAGACAAACTATATCAAATTTTAGAGAGAGAACTACTTAAAAATTTTTAGAAATAAATTATCTCAAATATTTAACAAACAACAAAATGAGGAGAAGGCGTCGTCGTCTACCTCCCACCCTCAGCTAAAACTACATCTATAATCTTTATCCCAAACCCAACTACCCTCCTTCAAGAACTCTACCCAAACCTCAGCCCCTACCCCCCCCACTTCTCTCCTCTCCCACGAAGGGATCCAAGTTTTTTAATCCGAAGGTTAGGCACGTTCTGTAGTCTTCCTCCCCGCAAGTGGTCGCCTCTGCAAACACAGCCCATGGTCCCGCTTCCTTCTCGCAGGTGGTAGCCGCTGCAAAAGTAACTCTTGTTTCCCCTGCCTCACCTACTAGAAAAGCAATCTCATCCCTCCTAGCATTTGGCTTGAGGTCGAAGACCTCTACTGCCCGATCTCGCTCTCGTGGTCAGCGGCCTCTCCACCCTTAGCCAACTTCTTTAACCATTCGGATCCTCCTCAGGCCAAGGGCTCCTCTTTTCCCCCCTGGATCACTGTCTGGAGGAAATCTAGCCACCATCGGTGCCATCGCCGACAACCCCCTCACGGCCTCGCACTGCCTAGGGAGCGCAACCTACCCAAACCACCACAGCCAACAACTTGGCAACCACGTGGTGATCGGTCGACCGTCTTTGGACACTGCAATGACCTCCCACCGACATTGCAGTCAATAGGGGTACCTCGTACGTCCCCCCTCGTTCCAATCGTCACTTCCCCTCACCGGGCCGGTAAGGAGGTAATAGTGGACCGTGAACCCTCCCCCCTTTCTGGGGTGTTGGGCTTTTTTGGTGATCCCGACCCATCCTCCTCTTCTAGGCCCGGCTATCTCTTGATATCTGGGGACCACACACACCCGTCTCTTATCCCTAGAACCTCTTATGCGGGCTCGACACCTGCTTACGTCGGTCCAGCTTCACCTGCCTTTCGCTCTGCTTAGCTGACACGTCTTCTGTTGCGCAACCCCCTCCTTCACACCTGTCACCCCTATCCCATCGCAAGCCGCCCACTCCAACCCTGTCATCTCACCTTCCACCCAGCCTTCGCTGCCTGTGGAGGAGCCACCTGCTCACCACCCTCTTCGCGACGATGACACCTCGTCCCCCCCTGCCTCGAGATCTCAGACCCTCGAGTGCACCTATTGTTCCCCTTCCCTTACCCTCTTTTACTGCCTCTTCTCCCCTCCCTCAGGAACCATCCTCTAACCCTCAGCCTCTTTCCTCCCACTCTGAAACCTCGCCACTCTCTGAGGACCTCTACCTGGAGCCCACCCTCTCGAACCTGTACCCACCCTCTCCCTCTTTTTCTCCTGCGCACCGTCCCTCTTTACCCTAGCCCTCTCCTCCACCCTCTTTTCCCCCTTCCCCCTCACCGTTTTTAGCTTTGACCTTCCTTCACCTGGACTTCCCCACAGAGGTCGGTCTGGTCCTGACCCTTAAGACCCCTTCACCAAATCTTCCGGATATGGACAGACCACAATTCCCTTATGGTATAGTGGCAGTGCACTCCCTTGACCCTTCTCCCCCTGACCCAGCCTATATCTCCTCTTTGCTCTCTCCCCATCTCTCTTATACTCCGCACCTTGTACACATCTGCCGGTATAGAACTCTGCACTTCACCTACCCTACTTCCTTTCCTCGGTCGTATTCCTCTCTTCCCTCCACCCATTCCCACCACTTTCTCACCTATCACCCTTCCCCTCTTTACTTTGGACCCGACGGCTCCTTCAGCCCTGCGCCTCCCCACTTTTACGATTCCCTTTTCCCCTTTTTCCTCCCTACGCTCCAGGGATCCCTAATCTCAGGTCTGCCTCTGCCCACGGCTCAACCCCAAGACGATATGCCCAGCCCCCCTTCCTCCCCCTCTTCTACCTCCGACACTCCTTCAACCCCCCCCTAAACCTGCTGACCCTCCTGTCCCCTCCTCATCTCCTAAACTTGAAACTCTTCCTGCCTTGCCTCTAGACCATTACCCTATCATTTTTCTTCCCTCTTCCTCTGCGCCTAACTGGGATCTAGGTCACCACCTGCACCCATCTCTCCCTCCTCTGCTGACATCAGTGCAGGGGGGGTCGACGAGGATGGGGAAAACAGAGAACTACCCAGGTCACCAGATGCACCCATCTCTCCTCCCTCGACTGACTTCAATGCTGAGGGGGTCGACAGGGATGGGGATAACAAAGAACTTGAAAGAATGAAGGAGATCTATCGGGTCATGGGCTTCCAACATGAAGGACCCGAGGGCCCAGCACATCGATTCCTGCTCGCAGATGCACAGAGCCGGCTTAAGGTGAGTATCAAAGGACAAAGGGAGCTCCTCAACCTTTTCTCCTCGATCAAATACGACAGACACCCCTTCGAGGGGCGCTCACCTGCTATCTCCTCATCCTCTCCGAGGAGGTCCGCTAGAATTGCCTCCTCTCCTGCCCCACCCCTAACCTACGAAGATTCTAATGTGGAACGTTAGAGGGTTGGGATAGGAGTCCAAAAGGGACATTGTTAAAGACCTAACCTTTAAACACCTACCCTCGATCTTAGCTCTCATTGAGACCAAAAATTCGGAGCCCACTCTCCAGCTCATCCGCCATGTTTGGGGAAGAAGGCCTTGCCAGTGGGCCTCCTTGCCTGTGATTGGGGCGTCAGGTGGAATATGGGTGATCTGGAACCCAACTGAACACCACCTCCAATCTTCCCATGTAGGGGAGTTTTCAATAACTGTCCTACTTTCTAGCACTTCGGATGGCTTCCCCCTCAAATTCTCTGCCATTTATGGACCCAACTACTGCATCCCTTAGGCCTTGCCTCTGGGCTGAATTAGACCTTGTCGCCTTCCTACCCTCATCTTGCTTGGTGTTTGGGAGGGGATTTCAACAATACTAGGTGGTCCCATGAGAGAAACATAAATCCCACCATTTCTCAGGGAATGATGGATCTCTCGAACTTCATTTCTCGCCATGAACTCCTAGATATTCCCCTCCAAGGCAACCGCTTTACCTGGTCTAACCACTCCTCTCAACCATCCCTCTCTAAGCTCGATTGTTTCCTCCTA